ATGTAGTTAATTCTTATTATAAAACACATAATATATTAGTTAAAACATAATATATTAGTTAAATTTAACTAATGTAGTTAATTCTTATTATAAAACATAATACTATTAGTTAAATTTAACTAATGTAGTTAATTCTTATTATAAAACATAATACTATATATATAATACTATATATTTAACTACATTAATTAACTGCATTAGTTTAATTGTATATTTTTACAGTTAAATTGAAGTAAATCGATAAATATCACGAATACTCTGCGGGAAATTATGCTGCACGCATAGTTTTTTATAACATAATAATACGCTGCACGCATAAATTTCCCGCAGAGTATTCGTGATATTTATCGATTTACTTCAATTTAACTGTAAAAATATACAACTAATGTAGTTAATTCTTATTATAAAACATGATACTATATATATAAATAATATGATTATTTAATTATCAAAAAAATATTATTGAATGTGTTAAAAATTTCATGAAAGTTTGTTTTTTACTAGTTCATCTCCGTTTACTAGTTCGGCTAACTAAATGAATCGAATACATCGGTGAAAACGTGATAAATTACAGAATAAGACATGAAATTTTTTTTTTTTTTTATTGTTATAATCAATTTTACATGTTCGCTCGACAGAAACACATGTCGGGATCGCACTACTTATTCCGGGTAGGAAATCGGGTCTTGAAATAACTAGCTTCATTAATCTAAATCCAGCGGCCTGTTCACATCATCGTGTATGTTATTGCCAAAGTCAAAGCGTGCGAAAATTTATTCCTACATTCTATGTAACAAGTTGCTAAATGCAACCGCGCAACTATATATTACACATATTTACACGTATTACTCACTTAGACCATGGAATTCGTAGAGTTGGCGTTAGATACAAATTTAACGACTCTGCTATTAATTTGTTGAAGTCCAATATCCAGGCGGTGAATTAAGAAATCGCAAAATTGCGAAAAAGTTTTCTTTCTGGAAGATAACTTTTTCATATGTTTTTATGAAAAAAAATAAAAATATACACTCTATGATAAATCTTTATACGTTTAATACGTAAACTACTTTTGTTAAAATTGTGCAACAAAATAAGGGTTATGAAATCAGGTAATTTAGTCAACAAAATTGTATTTGTGCACAGTCATTACCGAACTCCGACGCAAGTCGTACGCACTTTGCATACGGATAACAGCAGTGCTGCTATTTAAAGGCCGATACTATTGACTTGAATTTACATCCGACCACGTGTACCTCGATTTCACACAAAAGCGTTTGTATTTTTTGTAAGGTCAATGTCCCCATCCAAACACTTTTCCCGTATAATTCGATAAAACATCTCGAAATATCTGAGCGATTTGCACCGCGACACGATGTTAAAGCTAAGTTATTTATCGGGAGCTATTCACGTTCAGTAGCGCATTTAAACTCATACCCACGCTCTTGGTACATATGTTATCCTTAGAAAAAGCGTAAACTGTCATGAATAAAATATTCTTCGTGTTCTAGTTTCTCAGATGAATATTTTTGAAATTTCTCACGTTTCTTGTCAGACTAAAAAAAAAAAAAAACGATACTAATCTGCAATTTGTTAGAAAGTTGTGTCGCGTAATATGTATGAAAATGTAATTTTATTCACAATAAATACAAAACCGATTGATTGAATATCTTTAAAAAAGCATCACAAAAATATATTTAAAAATTCTATTCTATTTTAAAAAAACTATTTAAAAAAACTCTGTATCTTAGAAAAATTATTAAAAAATTTCAAAACATATAAGCGCGCAAAAAAGCAAAAAAACTTCTTTTAAATAATAACATCCTCTTATATATGAGGTAATAAAATTATGTTCAAACACATAAACTCTCTTACACAATCGAATAAGATACGAAAGATCTTAAATGTTGTTCAAGATCATCTCGCACGTTATATTTCCTTCGTTATGATGCTATTCACCGCGTGTCGTTAGCCGCATTGACGTTTATCTGCTCTCCGCGACACACGTGCACTACGGACAAACCAGACACGAGGCGGTGCATCGTCTCATCGCCTCGAGCGCGAAATATTGGCAACCCACATGTTGTGCAGCGACACACACGCAATATTGTGTATCTGATATTGCAATAACCCGAATTAGCGTCGGATCTCCTGTGACTGATGCAAGTGATCGAAGTTACGGTGCAAGAGAGAGGCTACGAGTATTGTCTTACGAGTTTAGAAACTTAGTATCGCGAATAGAGCAAGATTGCGCCACCATACGTAACTTGCGATCAATGAACAAAATTTAAATAATTCGTAAATAATCTTGCCTACACAACGCACACATATATGTATGTATGTATACACACACACACACACAAAATATAAAATATTTCTTATTTAACAAGTAAAAGAGTAATAACTAATAATTAAAATATTTTTATCTTCTTAAAAAATTTACATGTTTCTGTTTGACACATATAAATTTTATACCACTTTATATAATTTTATTTCCCATTGGTTCAATAAAGTTGGTTGAAATAAAAGTCAGATAAGTTACGAACTCTCTTGTGACGTTTTTATGGCTATCGTAAATTATAACCATATGTCTTTTATTATATAAATTTATATAAGTGTCAAAGATGATGTAATTCGATAACGAAACGGATTAATAAACGTCGCGCGGTGGCAAATGTGGAAACGTTTGGCGAAACGTATACGTCCGCACCGCAAACGTTCTCTTTATCCGGGAAGTTCCTAGCAATAAACTTGATATTAAGTTCAATTTGCTTTGCACCTCGTAAACGCGTTTGTAACGCCGACCACGTGTCGAGAAAATATTGGCAGTTCCAGCGCGCAAACCAGATTTACATCGACTACTTCCAGCTACAACTGTCACCGGTTACGTTGATATATATACAGGGTGTCCCAGAATTGGTTTAACATCGCTCGTAGGCAGGTAAAAGGAATAAAACTGAGGTGAAAAGTCCTATACCATTTTGCTAGATTCGCAATAGTTACTGAGATTTTAATTAACAAAGATCAGCGAATAAGCATGCATCGGGCTGTCTTACGCGCGTAAGACTGCCCGCCGCGCTTCGCGCGCTAACGGTGTTACCCATAGCGACATATGGGAGGAGCTAACATAACAACATATACTATAACATATACATATTAAAATGTAATTGTGTGAAGCGCGCCGGGCTGTCCTACGCGCGTAAGACAGCCCGATGCACGCTTATTCGCGGATCTTTGTTAATTAAAATCTCGGTAACTATTGCAAATCTAGCAAAATGGTATAGGACTTTTCACCTCAGTTTTATTCCTTATACCTGTCTACGAGAGATGTTAAACCAATTCTGGGACACCCTGTATATATATATATTGCATATACATGGAGTATTTATTGATTTGCGCGACGAACCGACCATAAAAACTTAATAAATTTGCGACATTTTCCACAATAAAAACTTTCTCTCCGGTATATTTGTATAGATTTCCCTTGCAGCGAGTGTTACGCGAATCTTCAAAACATTTTCGCTCTATAAATGTTTGCGCAGCGGATGAAAAAGCCGGAAATCGAATCGGGGGAGAATGTTTTCAAATAAAAATGAAATATCGATCGTTTGCATTTGCCGATTAAATACAAAGATCTTTTGCGAAGAATAAATAAAATGTAATTTCGCGAGTTATACCCCCGAGACATTGAAATTAATTAATTTTTATTGAACGAAACCAAAAATAACGTTTTATTTATAAAATGTCAAGTCAAGTTAAATTGTAAAATCTTTATAAATAATTGTATTGCTAAAGAGAGAGAGAGAAAAAGAGACAGAGAGAGGGTAGAGAAAAAGCTAAAAGCGTGCTTGAGAGCTTAAACCTTCGAGGAAGCTCTAACTAGACGAGCTTTTAATTAAATTTAAGAAGATGAGCTCTTAATGGAATATGAAGTCGCGTTTTAAACACGCTCAAGATTAACTGGTGCTTGTGTACACATTGTAAAAGTCCGCTTCGTGTTTACCGTAACATCAACAATAAATTGACCAATGCAAAAACGCTGCAGTAGCTGTTAATTGGCTACGTTATATACACTACCGTGTATTTTACAGCAACATGACAAACCCCAAGACGAGACTGTAAATCTCTCTTTTTCTCAATATATACGCAATCTCAAAAAAAACAATCGTTATAATCTCCTTCTCCTATTTTTGCATCCTTACGACAAAATACCAAATATTACTATTTAACAGCTGTGTGCGGTACATTCTCAATGTTTCTCTTGATATAAAACAATAATATCAGTGTGTTTGCGCGGCAATCTCCGCTCCGCTGTTATTGTTAGCACTCTCGGTTATCGCAACAAGAAGCCTTCGGTCGGCTCTTTAATTAGTGGCTCGATCGTGGGAGAGTCGCAGCAAGAAACCGAGCACTTCGGTCGCGCGCGACCGAACAACTATTGCGAGCGCGGCAATGTAACGCGCGACAGAAGCGACGCAAACAATGTCGAATGACATCGACCCGGTCGCAGGGAACGGACGGGAGAGAAACGAGAAAGCTCAAAGCTCATCTATTATTGGCGCAAAACAGAAATAAAATGCAGTGCGACGGCCTGTGAAATCTACGAGGCTGACGGGCTGCCAACTTTTGTTCTCTCTATGTACGCTTTTGACTTCAATATTTTCAATTCCCGTTATAGTCCCCGGCTTCGCAAAATTGCGCCACTTTTCTCACACGACTTCGCGTATACGGAAACACACAAACACACAAAAAATGCATCTCACGTTGTAACATTCATATATTTGTTGTGTACGGACAATCAGCGTACGGTTATGATTGATACAAGCTTTCGATGGTTAGTTAGTTAGTTTTTTCAAAATTTAGATATTTTATATTTAAATTTCAAAAATACCAAAATAGTTTAAGCTTGCGTATATGTACTTACAAAAATGGAAAAAAAAATCACATGAGTTGCATTGTTTGCAAAAAAATGATATTTAGTTGAATATGTAAAAGAGACTCACCACAGTAATAGGATAAACTGGATTGATGATTGTGAATAGAAGGACGTGATTCGGTTTGTTATTGTCTTCTCTGAAACATTAATTGATATATATATATATATTATATTTCATCGAACACAGAAAAGGACTTTTGATTGAAGTTCGCTCGCTCTCCGGTTCGCTCTCGTGAATTTCCGTTTTCATTTGTCCTCGTTAAAAGACGCTCCAATTATTCCGAAAATTCAATTACGGAAGTTCGAAAACGAGGCCTCGATTATCGTCGAGTTCGCAAAAAAAAAAAAAAAAAAACTGCCGCGCGCGAATAATAATTCATTCTTCGTCGATCGTCGCGTCGACGTCTTTGCTGACGCGGTGCAAAAAGCGCGCGCACCATTGATTGCATCCCGCGCTGAAACCGAGAAATATCATCCCTCCGCGACTTCATTTTCTCACGCAGATTGAAAAAAAAAATCTCGTAAATTTTATTTTTTTGCAACGTAACGAGAAAATTCACCATCTCTATATTCGAAATATAACCGTGTTCGCGAGATTTGAAATGTTTCTTTTAATATCGCGTGTAAACTAACTTTTTTTTTTTTTATATGAGAAAACAAATCGCCAAACAACATTCCATATGGGTATGTAGAAAATAAGAGAATTTGTTTTCGCGCGCACGAGAACTGTATGATAATGTATGTCCAAACTATGGGAGACGCGCACGTGTGCATCGTATACACCACGAAGATTTACGACGTCAAAAATAAGATATTTCGCATTCTAGGCGGAAAAGAGAGACCAAAACGACGTAATCTCCATTCGAGATTTGACGTGCTCACGTGTGCTGCGCAACGAAGTAACAGCCGCGTGATGGACAAGGCGCGATATAAATTTTTCACGGTTAACATTATTAATCTAAGTATATACGCGCATTCCGCCTCTTTTCTCCGGTAAAATAAAAATCAATTTGCAAATATACTACTACTTCGAATAATGCGGATGAAAATATATAACGTTCGTTGTGATTCAATTTCAACGCTTTCTTTGATATCGCGCATGCTTGCGACAAAGGTCCAGAACGTTCGCGCGACGATAAAATATCAGAAAAAAAAAACGTATCTCATTTTCAATCCGAAACAGAGATCGCAGATCGTGAAAATGTAGGACTCACGAAAAAAAAAAAAAAAAAAAAAAAAAAACTAAATATCGCTTTATTCCCGTTCCCGATTATTCGCGATTATCTGAGGCCGATTATCTGTGACTGCCTCGCCGTCTCTCGAATTCACTTTGCCGGAGGAGGAGAGTTATCGCTCGAGAGTTCGCGAAGCCGGAATATCATTCGCTATCGAGTTACCGGATTGAATCGCGCGCTTAAATGTCCGCGCGCGACTCTTGACTTATTATTTAGAATATACAACACAACACCAGAGAGCAGAGTCGAACTTTCACGACCGGATTCGCATCGTATTTAATTAATTTTCGACGAAATTATGCCGGCAGCGTTTTACTTCGCTTATCGGCCATCCAATTCTACGCTCGAGTGTTCTTTTACAATAAAGTATAATTAAAAATCTCAAAAACACACAGCGCTTTTCAAACAATATTGTACTTGAACCGCATTTCTATTAGAGATATAAAGAGCAGAGGTATATTCCTTAGATTAGATATTAAATCATGTAACAAAATATTGTATGACACTATTATTATATTATACTCTATATAGAAGTAAGAGCGCAAAGTGCGTTTAGAATATTTTTTAAAGTTGATCGTTTGAAGAAACGAAGACACATTAACACCGCGACAGCGCTATTGAGAACAATCGAGCAAACGATATATAAACAGCCATTGCTATCAATAGCTGTTTATGCAAAGTAATATATGCGAGGTAATATATAAATGAAGACGATTAAATAGCGGCATCGATCGCGCGAATTGAACTTAATTGTTCGATCGAACGCAAAAGTTAATAGGTTAAAGAAGTGCATCGCACGATATGCTGTAGATAGCACATCGAGGAAAACAGAAATGTGACGTAAGAGAGAATCTCGAAATATCAAATTATCAGATAAAAATTTCCAATATATAATAAATTTTCTCTGACGCGTTATTCTCTCTCAAAATAAACTTTTCGCAACGACGGGACAAAAAAGCAAGTTCACTTGTTGTCTTTGATCGAACATTGAGAAACTACGTAATTAAAAACTCTTATTAATTGTTCCAACATCTCGTTCTACTATATATTAAGTTTAAATGCGCATTTTATCGCTGTGTTTATTTTGTTTTCAAAATTACATAGATTTTTTTCATTTGTGTAAAAACGAAAAGCAAAAGAATAAAAAAGAACTTTACCTTTTGCGACGTGGCTCATCTCCGTATCCGCCATACTCGTGATTCTGCAACAAAGAAACAACATCATTAATTAACTTTCTTCTCGCAGACGGTTAATTCGTTCAACTCTTGCGCGCGCGCGCACGAGGAGGATTAAATGCCGTTAATGGCTTTATCCAACCGACATCGTTTACTTTGCCATCTGCAACACAGTCTTGTGCGCTTGGTCGCGGCAAGTTCTCCTCAAAAGACGCAAGTCTCCCTTGCGAAACTAAACTCTCTCGCAAGTCGAAAGTGCGGATTTCCCGAGAGCGCGCGCGCGCGTCTCCCTTTCCCTTCTGCGCAGCAACATGTGTTTATCATTTCTCTCTTCCGTCGTCGTAGGGAAATTGCGTAAGACAAATTCGCACGGCGGCAGTTTCGTCGGCTATGTGTTTCGATGCGCGCGCGCGCGAATATGTCACCACGGATGCGTGTTCGGTCAGTCTATTAATACGCGTGCACGCGTCTTTTTAACGACGGCGCCCAAAGCGACGGAAATAGTGCAGCGCGGGACACCTTAGGAGCTCTGTGACGTATAGAGCCGCTTAGATAAATTCTCGAGGCCCCGAACTGGACCACACAGAGGGAAAGATGCGCGAAAGCGAAAGTGTCGATCCTCTTGATCTTCTCCCTTTTGGTATTAAATCAGGGAAAAGCGTCAGAAATATTATAATAACAATAACTTGAATATGTGTTATTCACACATAGCTTTTTCTTATTGACCAATACTTTACTAGGTCGGTTATAAATTGTATTAGGTCTAACGGAAAGTTCTGTTTCCGTTTTTGGAATAAAACAAAATACAAATTTTTCTTACCGTCAATAAACTTTATTTAAATAATATAATTGCCATTGTTATTAATGATTTCTTGCCAGCGTGAGGGCAATTTGTATATCCCATTTTTTGAAAAATTCAGAAAAATTTGTATTTTGTTTTATTCCAAAAACGGGCAGAACTTTCCGGTAGACCTAATATCATAAGAAGTGTTTTTGATGACAAAGATATTATATATATATATTGATAAAAAGTTTATGAGAAACATACAGATTTGAGAGATTATCTATCTTTGACGTCGCAATGCGTTCTTCACTGTGTGTTTCTGATTATGATCTCGCTTAAATAAATTAAAACCACTCGCGCGAGTGTCAATTCCTAAAGCGTCTAACGCGCTTGATATCGCGTAATAAATGCACAGCGTAAGTGAATTAAGCATCAAGCGCGTATTTTATACGTTGGTATGACGTCGCTTGTCGCTTGTCGCGACTAAACAATTCCGCAAAACGACAAGTGAAATCCGAGAGAGAGAGAGAGAGAGAGAGAGAGAGAGAGAGAGAGAGAGAGTTTGCGCGAATTCAATTATCAGTACAAAATAATTATCCGGTCGGTTTGTAAATTACATATATCTAACTGAACGCAGCAGTTGGAAGATAATCAAAAAAAAAAAAAATAACACTGGTGTTGATTAATTTTTTTTTTTTTTTTTATGTTAAAAAAGTCCATTTAGCTTTTCTTGTTGAAACGATTATTTAAATTCAACGTTTATTTAAATAACAAACAGAAATTTACAATTTTTTATATCTTAATAAATTAATTGATAAAATCTACAATATTGTACGTAATAATTGACGATGATTCAACAGTGCGCCGTGCAAAAACTCGCGCGAGATTAGAGAAACGTCTGCGCTGCGGACAAAGAGGAGAATGCGTAAACGAACGAAGCTGGCGCGATTGTGCATGAATCTGTGCGAGACGCGTGCGTCGCTAATGATCCGGTTACGGAATTAACCTGAATGGCAAAGGTGACAGAGAGACAATGTATGACAGACATTTGGTTTTGAATAGCCGTAACGTTTCGCAAGAAATATCGCGTGCTCGAAGAATTGTCTGGATTAAATAATAAAATTATATAAACGAAGTCGCGGGAATTTATCGCGCGAATGTTTATTCTTTCTCTCTCTCTCTCTCTCTTCTCGAGAGAGTTGAGTGTCAAACATGAATATTTACTACTCTCGAAGGAGAGTCTCTAATGCAATCATTAAAGCGCCTTCTATCGCGAGCGGAGAGGAAAATCTACACGGACACAGTCTGATGAGATTCTTGTTGTCAGAAGATCCGCTCCCATAATTTGTTCCCGTTTGAATTCGTTACGAGCTATTATCGTCAGCGAGTCTGTTATTGGCGTTGTTAGCCATTAACGTATGTATTGGCTCATTTGACATTTTCGGATCTTCGTCAAATTTGCAGAGATACGTCCTAATCATTAATAACATTTATATCAAATTCCCCTTCCCATAAATATATTTATTTTTATTGCCGAACGTAATTATGTTAATTGTTAAAAAGTGGGCGAAAAATGTCGATTCCAAATTTAAATTATGTAAATTCAACAAAAAACGCAAAAGCTAATCAATCAAATATTGGAAAAAATATATTTCAAGAATGTACATATTGGGGAAACACGGAATTAAGAACAAATCAATATCTTTCAGACTTTGGTACTGGAAAGATAAGTTAGCTCGAACGACGTGCATATCCAACGCGAATTACGCGGATCGCAAGCGAGAAATTCGCTCCGCCTTCGCTGACAATGAGCTTAATGATTTATTGCCGGCGATCGCTCGTTAATTCCTTCGTCGAGACGTCGTGACTTACGAAATGTGGCTGAACGGTCGCCGAAAAAAAATATAACACGCGAGCGGTAAGAATCCGTTCTTGGGCGAACGGCCAAGTCAAGTCTCCGACGGCGGAGACTTTGCGGAATATCCCGACGCACACGCACGCACACACACACACGCACACTTCGCATCCCAACTTCTCCGTCGTCACGGATATATTCTAGAGCTCTCACATAGTATTGCCGTTACGAGGCGGAGAATGCCGCAGGGATCCGTCATATGTTGTTATAAACATAACTGTGCACTGGCGCGCGACCAACCACGTGCTTCCGCGCTCAATGGGTAGCTGGTTAACTCGAGAAAAAAAAAAAAATTATACCAGAGGTTGTTCTCGCGCAAGATCATCTTGCGAAAAAAAAACTGATGTGGATGGCAAAGCGCGAATTGCTGTTGCAAAACACGTCGAGCTTTTGACATACACACACGCTTTGATATCCAATCCGTTTTACAAATGTGACAGTCAATAAAAACTCGGATTGGCCCGCAAACACAATTGCTCATGTGACGTTCAAAATAATCAAATGTCAAACACAAACCGATATAAAAGCTACGCGTGTTGTAATAATTTTTTAAAACATAAGGTATATAATAAATTATAAAATTTCGCTCGCAATATTAACAATAAGCATAGAAAAATATATGTAACAAGGTCTGTTTTCGGATGCTTTAACGGATCTTCAAATTTATTCAGAAACCAAAACGCAAATAAAAAAATTTAGAATAACAAATGACAAACGTTTCGGACCTTACTTGAGCCCTCTTCAGTGTACAGAGATAACGATCGTTTGATCTTGACTTCGGATATGAAGTCAAACATTATACAACCTATTATGGACTTCTAACGTAAGATCTATCATTTCTTTTCAATTTCCATCTACTTTTGCGAACCTTGCGATACGACGTGATTACTTAAATTTGTATTCATATTTATCTTTGTACACTGACGAGGGCTCAAGTAAGAGCCGAAACGTTTGTCATTTGTAATTCTAAATTTTATTTGCGTTTTTGGTTTCTAAATAAATTTTAAGATCCATTAAAGCTCGAAAACAGACCTTGTTATATATATATTTTTCTATAATAATTTTTTAATTTCAAAAATGTCTCGAGATAAATGTCAGATAAAATTTTATTGCCGGATCAAATAAATATGAGATTTTTTGTATAAAAAAAACAAACATTATAAAGTTGGAATAAAAACACCACGATATAGATACAAAAAACTTTTAGATATTTTTGTTTGAATATATAGCGCGTGTATGTCTCAGCGACAAATCAGCTGTGTTCTTAATACAAAATTGGTATCGTGTCCAATCCAGCTTGTGTTCTCCACTTGTCAAGCGTATCCCGCTTATTGAGTTGATCGTCAAAAGAACAGACAAGAGCCAATTTTCTTCGTGTTTCGCGTTACGATGAAAAATGGTAAGATTCACGACAATCGACTTGCGCATCTCACTTTTCGAGAGATGCGCACCCTTCAATTTATCAAGAAGAACCGGGATAATATTGTGAATTTTTCAGGGAATAACAACCCGGTAAATCTCTTTTTCTTTCGCGTAGCAAAATTTCCAAATTTTCCAAATTTAACAAATTTTTACAATTTGCGAGTTGTAATTTAGACCATATTGTTTTATTCAAATATTATTTTACGCTTCTTTGTAATTCTTACGTGTACAAGTGTGTAATCCTTCGTTGTAATATTCATACTTGCGCGCGCAACAATATCGTTATATTTTCCTATTTTTTAATTTCACGACAAATTCTTTTGATTGCAATCACCATTTTCACAAGAAAATATCAATTATGCACGGACCGTCTCGTCGTGCGATATAAATTGCGCGAGTCTTTTGTGTATTTTACGCCATGTCGTCCTCGAGTCAAAATTTAGCGTCTACATTGAACCTCAATTTTTCTTTTTTTATGTAGGAGTAAGAGAGAAAGTAGATCCTACTTTGACGCTGCTACAGGTCCGAAATTTCCTTTTTTCCTGCTAAAGTTTTAAAGTAGGGTTTAATTCTCAGATCAGACTGCACATTGCAGGCTCTGATAGGCTCAAAATAGGTTCTGATAGGCTCAAAGTAGGAGTGAGAAAAAAAGTAGATGCTACTTTGACGCTGCTATACGTCCGAAATTTCCTTTTTTCAAAAATTGAGGTTTAATGTAGACGCTAAATTTCGACTCGGGTCGCCACCGCCCAAATCTTGAAAACTATCCAGAACAAAGAAACAGCCGAGGAATTCCGTGATTGATACATCGTTTAAAAAGTTTGAATATTCGAACCCCATGAAGATTTGCAAGACTTTTAGGGAAACCGAATATACGCAATTGCCTGTCCGCGCGGATCCGCGCC